ACCCCCCGCCACCCCCTCCTCCCCAGGACTGACCGCAGGAGACAGGGCTGGAGCCCGCGAGCTCCGTCCCCTCTGCCCCTGCTAAGATGCAGGTTCGGCAAGCGCCGGGAGTGGGACACGGGAGACGAAGGGGACACGCTATCTGCCACCAGCCTGGGAGAAGCCAGCAGACGTTCATGGTGCCCACCAGGCAGCAGAGCCCTCACCCAGGAGCCCAGCAGAAGCTGGTGGGGAGGGCCAGGGTTTCCGCCGCCCTGCCTGGGGTCCTGGCACTCGGGGACAGCAGGGACCCCTGCGGCGTGCAGGGATGCTGGTGCCAGGAATGGGAACGGAGCCAGGACAGAGCCAGCAGTGCAAGGCTGGTTGGTTTGTTGCCCCCTCCTTCCCTACCCCGACGGCCAGGATCAGTCCCATCCCCGCTCTCTCCCGGCTGCCGGCCTTCCCAGGAGAGGTCCTGCTGCCCCACACAACAGCGATGCGTAAGAAGAACGAGAAGACGTACCAGCTTACTCCTCTATACCAATAGAGCAGGAATCGGGACCCAGTGCTGCCCAAGACAGGAGGGAGGAAGGCAGACAGAGAGGGAAGGAGACATTAGAGAGGTACTCAGAACAGACTGCGACTCTACGGAAGAAAACAGGCTGCAACGACAACAGTCGGGGATGAGGAGAGCCGCAGCGTCCCACGGCCGCGCTTGCCAGCAAAGCACAACCCCCCCCCGCCACGACACCGCCCCGCGGCAGAGGGGTGCCCGCTGCCCCCCACACTGGCTCAGTCTCCCAGAAGCCGGCCCAGATGGTTCCCCTCCCTCGGCCGAAAGCAGGAGCGCCGTTTGGGGGCAGGCAGGGGAGGCCACTGTCACGTAAACTGCCACCGAGCGGCCGCAGCCCGGAGAGGAGAAAGGAGGGGAAGGACAGAGACAAAAGGGTGAGGGAGGAGGAGAGAGAAGGGGAGGGCAAGTTACCTCTGTGTTAGCCCCCCTCGCCCACAGCTCGCTCTGCCCACTGGGAGGAAGCGGGAGCCCGTGCTCCGGGCAGGTGCGTTCCTGTCCCGTCCCAAGGCTGCAGCACGCCGCCCCGGGTGGGGAGGCTGCCCGCGGCCAGGCACACAGTCCACAACCCCCCCGGGCCCCGCGGCGCCTCGAACCGGAGCCGCGAGCGCAGCAGGTCGGCACTGTGCCTTCGACCCCAACGGGGCGGCCATTACCTGGCAGATAGACGTCTACCGGAGGGTTGCTCTCCGACTGCGTCAGGCTTCTGTGCTCGCCGCAGCTGCCGTCCTGCAGGACGTCTTCGACGGAGGGCGGGCGGCTACCTAGAACCAGACGAGAGCGCAGCCCCTCAGTCCCCAGCCCAGCCCTGCAGGGGCACGCAGCCAGGAGGATGGGTTGAGATCTTCCACGTGAGGAAGCTCCCCGGGCCCCCCCAGCCCCGCAGAGGTCTCAGGGAAGCCGGTCAGACTGGCCCAGGTCACAGTGCCGAAGGGCCACCTCTTCATATGCAGGCTCATGCCCCAAAACGCACCCAGCACTCCTCTCTCACCCCGTCCTCATGCCCTCTGGATGCTGACTGAGCACCAGAGACCCATCCCAAAGACATGGGGCACATCCTGCGTGCCCAGTACCGTGGCCATGCTCTCACCAGGACCACAGTGGTGCACGCAGCCATCTCCCCCTCAGCCGTGCGAGGAGACAGCCCATGGCACGGAAAGCTCTACTTGTGTAAAGCTTACAGCAAGGAGCGATGCTTGGCAAATAAACCGGGGACATTTGTTGGTTTTGTTCCCCCACTCCCCAGAAGAAACCCTGGCACCTTTCTCTGGTGAAGCACAGCAGCTCAGAGATGGACTTTGGGGGCTGGATGTTTCTGAACTCCTATGTTCATTCCCCAGCTGTCCCCATCCCACCACAGCAGACCTGGACACCAAGACGAGGTCTGGCCGCCCCCCCGGCCGAGTGTACACCTACCCTGCTGCAGGGACGAGGCCTCCTCGATCTCTTCCCCTGCCACGCTCTGTAAGGAGGAACAGCACAGGTTACTTCTGCAGGCTGGAGGCCTTTGCTGAGCTTGTCTCCTGCTCTGGCTTTCTCCAGAGAGCTGCGCTCGGGGCCAGGACTTGCTTCAGAGAGGGAGCAGGGGGCCACCCACCAGCGCTGTGGCACCACGGGCCGGGATGGAGGGGTTTCACAGGCAACGGCAGCGGGTGCTGGCAGCCCAGCAAGGCCCAGCTTCCACCCGTGCCCCAAACACTGCTGGGCTCGCCCAGCAAGCTGGGGGAAGGCCAGCTCTGACATGGCTCCAGCCGAGTGGCTTTCAAACGCCCCAGCTCCCAAAGGGGTGTTAGGGGCACAGGGAGAGGCTACGTCCTTCCCCGTGGAGCCCTACGGGTAAATAAAGGCAGCCGAGACTGTTGGCTCCAGGCTACTCGTGCTAACAAGCTCATCTTTACCCTGTCACTGAGGAAGCGATGGCCCTTCACGAGGCAGCTCCTGTGTCCCAGAAGAAGCCCCCCCAGAAGAGCTCTGGCTCAGAGCAGCTCCCCAGCAGAGCACACTTACTTCTGGAGAGCTGGTCTCTCTCAGGACCAGCTCACCCCCGCTCAGTGCTGGCTGTGAGTCAGAGTCCTCGGAGAGCTTCTCTTCATCCTCCTCATGGATTGGGGACGAGGGAGAC